TAATTTATCATTGTAAATTTTCATTATTTATGGTTAAATAAATGGAGTAAAAAAAAAAATTGAAAGTGCATCAGTTTATATATTTTCAATAAATAATGCTTGTAAACTTAAATCTTTGTTTGTCACTAGGGTTTCCAGTTACAACATTATTTTAAAAGTTCGAACCAGAACATTTTCGAACTATTACAGGAAAAAGTTCGAACTGTTTCAAACTTTATTTTAGTTTTGTCAAAACACACAAAAGTAATACAAAGTATGCGTGAAAGTATTTATTTGTTTATCATCATTAGTTAGAACAAAAGTAAAAAATATCAATGAGTAACAAGCCTTCCCAGGAAACGTGTTCAGTTTTTCGTCTTGTGTGACCACACACCTGTATTTTATTTTAGACAACTTGGTGATGGCTGTTTGCAAGTTTTAAAATAATCATTGCAAAAAAAGTTTTAAAAGCAAAAAAACCAAAACTAACAAAATAGGAAATAGAAAGAAATTTAAATAGAAAAAGATAAAAAGAAATCATTAATTTAAATAAATTGTGTATTGTTTTTATTTTTATTTCTTTAAAGTAGTTGTTACATTCAGCAACAAAATTAGATGAGGGGAAGCAAAAATAAAAAACTAACAGTTTTAAGTCTACAGCAAAAAAAAAATGATTTTCTGAAAAAGTTATAAAAATTAAAACAATAAACTTACCACTACAAAAGTAATAACACTCTATTATTATAAAAAAAATAACACTCTGCATTACAAAAGTAATAACACTCTGCATTATAAAAGTAATAATACTATAGTGTTATTATTTTTATAATGCACTTATAACTTTTATAATTCATTCTTTGTTTAAACAACATAATTGAAGTAGAAAAGCATCTATGAAAATAGAATGGATATTTAAATAATACTTAAGGAACTAAAACAACTTTATAAGAACTATCTGCATAAAAAGTTTAGCATTATGAAAAATGTAACTAATGGAAAAAACGCACATTAATTTTAAAATCAACCAATAATAATTTTTTATAGGCTGATTTTAAAATTAATGTGCGTTTTTACGGACTATTAATAATAACGCTAAATTTTTTATAAAGTACTAAATTTTTTATAAAGTTTGTAAATTGCAATCGCATAAGTTAATCCTTGATATATACTTTTCACATTAAAATTATACAAATATATTTTACAAACAGATGACAGTTAATATTTTTGCTTTGTTTTATTTATAAAAACAAATAAAATATAGGAAAATCATTTTCGTAATGTTTAAAACTGTTTTTTTTTTATGACTTACCGAATTTTGTTGCCGAAAATAACAACCACTATGAAGAAACAAAAATAAAAACAGTACAGAAATTATTTAAATTATTATTTTCTATTTAAGTTTCTTTTAATTTTCTATGTTGTTATTTTGCTTTCTTTGTTTTTGAAATTTTTTTAACCAACACATATAATAAATCTTGCAAATGATCGTGACCGAGTTGTCTAAAACAAAATACTCATGCGCGGACATACAAGACAAAAAACCGCACACATTTCCTGGGAAGGCTTGAGTACTCTTCATAGTTTGCTTTAAAAAAGATACATCTAAAGTTTCGTTGTTTAAAGAACTTTTTATTTTAGTAGCAAAAAGTCCAAGACTAGAAAAAGCTCTCTCAGCTTCTAGAGATAGGAGAAATTGTTTGAAGAGATTTAAAAAGTAAATTTAAATACTTGGCTATAGCTTTGTTAGCTTCAAAAACAGCTATTACCTTATGAACAAGGTTTTCTCTAATTTCCTGATGGTCATGTTTCATTTTAGTGTTTCTGTTTATTTAATAAAAGATTTGAGTTGTTAATCTAAATTATATTATTAATATTAATTATATTATTAAAATTTACTTCCTTGTCATCATCAGAACTATGGTCAGATGGCTGAAATAATAAATAATGAATGAGATTAGTAGCAAGATTAGTAATCTTTTTTTTTAATTTTGTTGCCAAATTGGTCATCTTTATTAAAGACATTCTCATTTGACAAGTATTTCATGAGATACATCAAATGAATGTTTCTAAGTTCAATTATTTTTTATTCAAATATCTGTTTAACACGTTGACTTTGATGTATTAGCTTCATGAAGTTTTTTTCTTGTAAATTCAATTACAATTTTAGAATAAAAATAACCAACATCTCCTTTTGAAAGAGTATTAATGGTCAATTTTAGTGGTGTTAAGCAACAAAGTTCAAGTAACAGAAGCTATACTGTTTTTTTCCAAATTCAAATCAAATGAATTAAACTTATCACTAATCAATTTAATGGTTTTTTGTTGTTAAAATGTCCAACTTAAATTTTTTTTATGGGTATCACCATGGTATTTTTTTAACAACTAAAAATATGTCAAGCACATAACTATTTTAATTTTAAAACATAGGTAACGATCATTTATTAACATAAAATTAAGAGTACTATCTTATAAATTCACATATGTTATAAAAGATTTTGGTTAAAAAATTGTTAAAAAATGATAATAAAGAACCTATTTTTCATATATATGTATGTTCGAACTTTTAGAGAAAAAAAGTTCAAATTGATCCTTTTTAAAAATAGCAAAAGTTCGAACGTTCAAACCTGAACATGTTCGAACTAGAAGCCCAATTTGTCACAGAGAAAAAAAATGCTGGTAAAGCAGGCTTGGCCAGGAAGCGGGAGCGGTCGCTCTCAAATACTAACTACGGAAATTATATTTAGTTTTTAATTATATTTATATTTAAAACTGGCCAGGTTTTTTAGTCGTTTTGAGAACATTTAAGTTTATGTATGAATCAAAGCCGTAAATCTTATAAACTATTATTATTTGTTTACAAAAATAAATGTTTTAAATATATATTATTTTAATTGTCAAAATTTTGTAATCTATTAAAGCAGTTTTTATGATTTTATTTGTAAACAAAGACTTACACAAATAATTGCGTTTTTAATGAAGTTATTAATAATCATTAAAGTTAATAAAACTAATTATGTAACAAACATATAAGAAGTTTCTGGTTACTAAACACAAACAATGCATACAAAGTAATTTGTGGATGAACAGGCACCGCGTCTGAGGTCACAACAGAACATAAATATATTTAGCAAGTTATTAGATTTAAAGAAAAGTTTCTAGATATTGGTTTACTAACTCTAATTATTTTCCCTTAAGTTGCCATTCTTAAAAACTCATTATACTTTTTTTCTGTTTTAAATACTAATTAAAATTAAAAAGCCCGCTCACTAAACATCATCAGCGATATTGTGAAGCAGTTTCACTTCCTCGTCATAAAGTATTTTTAACCTTTTTAGTTGATTTTTATTTAGTTAATTTAATTTCTGTAGTAATTCAATGATTTAATTATTTCATTTGTTTATCTTACTAATAAGTTACTAATCAATTGTTTCAAATATGTTAAACTTTTCAAACTACGCAAAACATAAAATAGGTATTTTAAAAATTAACTTTTTTATTTATAAAATAGTTTAGTTTAGATAAAACTAAAACCTGTAAACTTTGTTAAATAAAGAATATTTGTTTCCTTTTTAAACAATCGTAAGATGTTACTTTATATAAAAAACGTCGCTTAATTTTATAAAATAGTTATAAAAGAGCGATGTTTCGAAAATATTTGTTGTAAACGTAATTTATTTTGCTTTAAGTTTTCTCACATTAAAAGATATTTTATTTTCCTTATTTATTTATTTTTTTTGTACATGTCTTACATCAGTCCAATTAATCTTGAGTGCATTTTTTTTGCTTTTTGAAATGTTCTCAAAACGACTAAAAAATCTGGCCAGCTTTTTGCAACTAAATATTATTTCCGTGGTCAGCAATCAAGAGCGATTGCTCCCATTTACCGACCAAGTCTGTAAAAGTAATTAACTTGATTTTTTATTTTTTTTGCAACAAGTAATATTTTTTGTTTGTAATATTTTTTTTTATTCAACTTTTTTAAAAGTAAAAAATGGTTATTATTATTAAAGCTGCTATTTTAAGAATAAGGAAAAAAAAAAGTTGACATTTTAATTTATTTATACAAATTTTGAGAAAGGAAGTTAATTCATGCTAAATAAAAATAAAAAATGCTATTAAATTATTTAATATTAAAAAAAAAAAAGTAAAAATTAAAACAAAATAGACATTGCACAATATGTACATTTACAAAGTAACACTTCTAGGTTTATTTTTCTTAATTAGAAAAATAAACTTGTTTTGTGATAATTGATTTTATTGCAATAGTTTAAACATTTATTGTTCGTAAATAAAAAAAAAGAGAATTTATTGATGTCAAAATCATGACAAGCTAATCTGCTTAGTGGTTTTTATTTAAAGCAAAGCCTCTAGTGTGAATGCTAATGAATAATAAATTTGATAGGTTTTTATCTCAAAGTTTTTTTTGCTTTTCTAACATGTAAAAATCTTTGTTTCTTTAAATGGTTGTATCTTTTGAACACCAAAAGATTTTTAAAAAGTTTATCTATGAGATTTTATCTTGTTTCATATGATATTAAAAAATCAAAAAAAAAAAATCAAAAATCAAAAAAAAATGTAACACAAAGAGGGACACAAAGAGGGGGAAAAAATTGCATTGATCTTCTTTAAAATTGATTTGCTATTTGAGATGTACACCCAATTATTTGTTATATTTTTATTTGTTATAATTATTTGTTATAATTATCATTTTGTTTGTATCATAATAGTCAAGCTTTTAATAAATGAAAAAATTCAAATGTAAAAAAATAACAAAAAATTTTTCAAATGGATAAGAAATTAATTAAATACAAATACAAATCCAATTCAGAATATAAAGATAATCAACATGAAAAAAGTTGCAAAGTCTCATTTTGCCATTAATTAATCTATGCTTATATGACCTTAAAATCAAAGAAACTTGCACATTATAGTTACTGTTATATGTAATAGATTGTAATGTACTGAAATAATAATTTATTTTTAGAAAATAATTTTTAAATGAGGTGATTGTTCTTACACAGCTCGATTTCGTCCGCAAGATATTGCTAAAGCTTTACTACAAATGGTTAGCAATGACATTGGTCAGGTATTAATTTTTGCAAACATATTTACAGTATTACATTGAGAGCAAAAAATAAACAACACCCCTCCTGATTTTTATATTTTTAACAAATCAGTAGTCAAGCTAACTCCAAATTTTAACAAATTGAATAATTTAACATCATGTTTAATAAATAAATTGTAATTTTTGTATTTATTATGTTTCATAAACTTTGAAAAACATCAACATTTGTCGGTAGCTGATCAAATTTGTTGCCATTTCTGTATTGACAATTATTTGAAAGCAAAACATTTTATTGAATGAAAAAGTGTAAGTTAGGAATATTTTTTTGTTTAACATAGCTTACAAGATGATAATGTTGCATTATTAATATTTGTTCTGAAGGGAACGAAATTAACTGAATTTGAATGTGGTCAAACATTCAAATTCATGACATTTAACAGCCAGGATTCAGCATTATCAAGATTAGCAAAGAAATAATTCTATTTGAGAAACATATTTACAAATTGTTTAAAAGATCTCAATGGCTGTAATACAATTGTTATACCTGCAAGACCTCAAAAACTTAGCAAAACAGAAACAAGGCTCCTTTGACAGAGATACAGTTTTTAATAGAACTCGTATCTTTATTGACAAATAAACATATTTCTAACCATATTGCACAGGCACAATAAAAAAAGTTAAGTGATGAAGAATGGATAAATATTGACTTTTCAGTTTTCTGAAAAATATTGAATTTTCAAAATTGCATGGGTTTGATGGCTTTCAGTATTATTGTCATAGTCTGCCCCAATAAAAACAGGATAATTTGAATTGAGGATAATTTGAATCAGAGAGAGGGGTCGTTTATTTTTTTGCCCTTACTGTATTTCAGATTATTTAAAAAATTATAAAAGCTTATAAAATAAAATTAAAAAGACTATATAGCTATTAACAAAATTGCTCAAAGAACAAAACTTGTTCATAAACACTTTAAGTTTTATTTTCTATAATATTTACTCTATAATATATTTCCTTGAATTTAATTTGTTTTTTATTTTCAGATTTCATCTTTGTATGCTCAGTTGCATAATTTAAAAAGAATTGTTTTTGGAGGATATTTTATTCGTGGACATCCAGTTACTATGCATACCATTTCTTTTGCTATTAATTTTTTTTCAAAAGTAAGTACCCTAAAAAATAAGTGTTTTTCAGACACTGTAACTTATATTTTCAACAAATATTTTTTATATTAAATAAATAGTACCTAACATTTAACTATTTTTAAAATTTGTTTTAAAAGGGAAAGTTGCATGCCTTGTTTATGCGTCATGAAGGATATCTTGGTGCTATTGGAGCTTTTTTGAGTACCAGTAAGTAGAAATTTTAAAATAAAAAGTTTTGAAACTTTCATAAAAAGGTTTAGAAAGGCATTAATAAGAAAAACTTATGCTACTACATAAAAATAATATGGTATATATTAAGTAAAAATAATAAAATGATAATATGGTATGCTATTAAGTAAAAATAATAAAAGAATAAGTGAGTTTTGTACAGTGAATCTTTGTTTCAAAAATAATAGAGTCTAACGGCTTTCAGAAAATGAACGAAAAATACTGTTAACTTGAAAGCTTATTGTTTTATCAACAAATAATAAATAGAGAAGTAACTAATTATTTTTTTTTTTTAACAGTTTGTGCGAGTTGCTAAAGTAATATTTAATATCATGCATGTTTTTATACACTTTAAATTTAACCGGTTCATATTAGATGCAATGAGTAATACATATAAATTAATAATAATAGTAATATAATATAAATATAGTTTATAACAATTGCCTAAACACATGCAAGCAGGGTAACCTGAAACCAAAAACTGACATTTATTATAATGAATCCTTATTAAAATAAATGCCAGGGTTTTTTGTACTAAAAGTTCAGGAAAAAGTTTATCAAGTTAATTTTTCAAAAATGGTGACTGATACGACAGATACAATGAGCGGCATTTGGAAAAAAATTCCAATCAGGTACACAATTGCAGAAGAAAAGTTCAGTGTCTGAATTTTTTTACATCAGAGTCAGGGTTCATTTAAAATTGTTCAATATAATTGAAATTTTTTTAAAGGTTGTAGTTATAATTAAATTAAGTATTATTAGTTATTAGATAAATTTTAAATGTAAGAATTAAATAATTAAAAATAAAAACTAGCATTTAAAATTTTATTTAAAATGGGACATTTGACAGAATATTCAATACTGTCTTATAAGTTTTTTATATGTCAGCTTATGAAATTTTTATTGTCAAAAATAATATTTTTTATAAATATATATATAGAAATAAGCAAAAAATCATTGTTTTATTAGTAACATTATGGTAAAACTTCAATAAATTGAAATAAAATGATTTTACAAATAAAGCACCAACATTAGCAGACTAAAACAGTTTATAGCACCAACATATTAAAGCATAATCAATATTTTCAGTATTTAGTATGGCCACCATGACTTTTTAACACAGCTTCAATATGATGCGGCATTGAATAAATAAGGGAAAGACAATAATCTGCAGTAATTTCTGTTGTCCAGGCTTGCTTGATTTTGTCCAGAAGGTCAGCTTGTGATGTGGGTTTGTTCTCTGAAACTTTTTTTTCATAGTATACCATATGTTCTCTATCGGGTTTAAGTCTAGAGAGTTGCCCGGCCATGGACCCAAAATTTCAAAACCAGACATAGTGAGCCAATTTTTTACAGCTTTTATGCCATGACATGGAGCACCATTATGCTGAAATACATTTGTACCATGTATTGCCATAAAATTCAGTAATTTTTTCTTAAGAATGTTTAAGTAAACATTACCATTAATAGTAGATCCATCCAGCATGTCCCATAAACCTGCACAACCAAATGCTGATATAGCTCCTCCCACCATCAGTTTCTTTGGTTGTTTTACTGTTGGCAAGGCATACTTGTTGTTATATCTCGTCAGAGGTGGGCGCCAAATTCTAGGAGCATAGCAAGCAAACTGCGTGAAGGTTGACTTGTCGCTGAACATGACACGTTTCCAATCAGCTTCACGCCAGTGTTTGTACCTGTTACAAAACTCTAAGCGATCTTTAATATTCTTTGCTGATAATTTTGGTTTTCTAGCTGGTTTGTAGCTTTTCAGTCCATGTGCAAATAGTTTCAGTACTTATATTTTTGCAACTTTTCAGGAGCTTACTTCTAAATGGCGCTGATGTTATGCGTGGAGAGTTTATCGTAATCCTTCAAATAAGTCTATTATCGTATGGTGTCATTTTTTTTGGTCTGCCACTTTGGCGTTGTGATAAGTATGTGTTGGTTTCCTTAATCCTCTTGTGTATTTTGTATGCAGATCCCGCTGATATTTTTAAAAATTTTCCTATTTCTCAAAAACTCTTCTGTTGCAATCTCAATATTTCTACATGGGCTCTTTTAGTAGCTGATAGTTCAGGTGTTTGATCCAGTCACAACTACAAAAATCAAAATATATACAAGTTATGTATCACAATACACTAATAACATGACAAAGTACTTTTATAGTTTTGATTTACACAAGAGATATTGAAAGATTATGCTTGTATATCAATTCTATTATTACACCTGTATTTCACACCTGTACAAGTACAGTACAGGTAAAAACTAATACTATATTGTTCAATAATGCAAAAAACAAGATACATGTCCTTTCAGCTGTTTTCAGTTTCATATTGCAATGGTATTGCAACGACCTTAATTGTTTTTTTATAATATAAAAACAATAACATAATTAGACATAATTAAAACAACATTTATTCTAAATTTTAAGACATCATTAAAGAGTTTAATATATAATTAAATAAAAACTTTTATTATGGATGTAACTCTTTATTTTTTGAGTTAATTTTTATGCAATATTTGAAGGGAGTATAGGTACCCTCGTTGTCAAGTATAGTGTATATATAAATAAACCTGTTAAAACAAAACAAAAACAAATCAATGCAATAGTTTCTTTTGACACCACTAAAGCAAATTTACATAATAAAAAAAAAGCATTGAAACTCAACATTCATCAATTTCATCAAAAAATATTGTATCTTTACTGTTGATTCCGAGAACTAGCCCGAAGTTAAAAAACGTTTTCAAAAAAGCAGATTACACACCAGTCTTTAAATCACCAAAAAATTTACAGCATATACTTACCACCAAAAATAAACCTCCTCTTCCTATAAATTCTTACGCGGGTGTGTACAAACTCGAATACTCCTGCAAAAAATGTTATATCAGTGAAACAAAATTATAATCTCGCATTTACCAACATCAGAAAAATACATGCGAAGAAAAATGGGATTATTCAGCAATAGCAGAGCATTTAAAAAATTGTCATAGTAATTTTACATTGAATGATAAAAATACTTTAAAAGTAGAGGTCAACAATTTAAATCTACTTAATTTCTACTGCTGCATTTTAAAGAAATGATTTTGCTTTGGTTTTTTTAAAAATTTAACAAAGATCTGGAATAAATTTTTATAGTCATAAGTTCAATGAGGAGCAAAAAGATTTTAAATAAAATAAGAATATTTTAAATAAGATTATTTAAAAAAAAGAAAATAACTTATTTGTAATCTCATTATCTGTTGGCACAAAATAAAAGTTCACAGAGAAAGATATTCCCTTTACCAATGCTCTCTTTATGATGCTTGGAGATGCTTGTCAAAATTTCTACATTTCAATAAAATGTTTAATTTTTTTTTCTCTGTTGTTGTCTGGCAGTTTTGGAAGTTGGAATATTCCAATAGCTTGATGTTTAGAGTTTCTTGTAACTCCTCATTTAGGAAAAGCACAATTTGCTCCAAGCATTTTTAATTCAAAAAAGGTATAAAATAGCTGTAACTTGATTATTTAAACAGCTTGAATCAAACTAATTAAATGGCAAGCTTTTAGAAATAAGAAAAATGAATAAAACTTTTTAAAGTAGTCTAATTGAGAAGACTTCCAATTCCTCTTGGTTAGTGATCTTCTGGGTTATCAGATACTGTGGTTATCAGTTAGTGATCTTTTGGGTTATTAGATACTGTGGTTATCATATAGTGATCCTCTGGCTTATCAGATACTGTGGTTGTTAGCTATCAGATTTGTTAGTTATATGTTTAGTATATAAGTAAAACAAATAAACTTTTTTCTTATGCAACTTTATTACTTATGCAAAATTATTTTTAATATGTTATATTATTAGTAGTATATAACTGTTACAATATCTTTTGTATAGAACCACTATTTTTGCATATGCTCACATAAATATGCTATCTACTATAGCATATTTATGTGAGCATTTGCTCACTTTTTTTGCTTATCTAAATTGATACGGCTTTTTTAAAAAAAGAAAAGAAAACTAAGAATAATCAATAAAAAGATTGCTGTCCTATCCCAAACCCTCAGTCAATGTAGCAGCACTTCACTGCAAGTCAGGATATTAGTTAGTCAATGTATTTACTAAAGCCCCTGGCCGCAGGCTAATTTAGTATGACACTGCTCACCTAAATCAGCAGTATAAGATATATATATATATATATATATATATATATATATATATATATATATATATATATATATATATATATATATATATATATATATATATAGTCTGGTGGGCATTTTGTACTTAAAATGTTTTCAGTTTTTGTTAAATGTCATTGTGTTATTGCTTTTTTTAATTTATCTTAATTTTTTTAGGCTTTCCACATAGTGATAGTTCCTGCTGGCTTGAAAATTTAGCTGGCAGCTCTGCCTTTCCTGAAAATAATGAAATTTCAGCATCAAAGGTTAATTTATTTATTTTTAATATTGAAGTTTAATTTTTACAAAATCATAATTGTTTTAATTTATTTTATAATTGTTTTGATTTTAAATTTCTTTAAAAAAATCATTTATGCTTAAGATTTGCATTTCGAGTTTTACAGCATTTTACAGTCAGATAAATATATAGGCTTGGTTAGGACAAGATGAGAAAGTTGCATGCTCTGAGAAGTTGCATGCTCGGAGGAGTTGTAGGTTCTTAATAAGTGTATAAAAATTTGGGTTAATAATCAATATATAAGATGAATGAAGATAAAACATACAAAGCACTTAAACAACATATTGAATAATATGCATTAAACAACATATTGAATAATATGCATTAAACAACATATTGAATAATATGCATTATTAGGGTGTAAGTAACAAAAAAACGTTAATGCTTTTGTAGAAATATGTGACATTCCGATGGGAAAATCATTTGGTAGTGTTAGGTAATAAATTTTTCCTCAGAAGTGCGCCTGTTTAGGAACCAACATTTTGAAGAGACTCAGCAATAATAACTAATTTATATTGATAAACATCATTGCCACTTATGTTTTACATTGTATTAATAAAAAGCAGACAACTACTACACCTAAATTTGTAAAGCACCAAAGAGTTTGTCGCAAATGTTGTAGTAAATGCAATACAAAGTCGTTCAAAAATAGAATAAAAAAGTAACCATTTACTATACTATAAAGTATAAAACTGGTAAATAAATAATGCATTAGTATATATATATATGTATATATATATATATAATATATATATATATATATATATATATATATATATATATATATATATATATATATATATATATATATATATATATATATATATATATATATATATATATATACTCTTGCATGTCTCTTGCGTGGCATCAAAAAATGTTTCCCATAAACTGTAGTTTTAAAGAGCGCGTTAATAAACCAGACCAGAAAAAGTTTTAAAAATTTAATTTTTTTTTTTAATTGATAGACTGCCTGGCCAAACCAAACCCTCAGTCGATGTAGCAGCACTCTCTTGCGAGTCAGGCTATTTGTCAGTCGTTGTAGCAGCACTCCCTTGCGAGTCAGGCTATTTGTCAGTCGATGTAGCAGCACTCCCTTACGAGTCAGGCTATTTGTCAGTCGATGTAGCAGCACTCCGTTGCGAGTCAGGCTATTTGTCAGTCGATGTAGCAGCACTCCGTTGCGAGTCAGGCTATAAGATAGTCCATGTAGCAACATTTACGCATGTTTTAAAAATGTTTTTTATTAAATCAATAACAAAAACACCACTAATTAAAAAAAACTTTCTAGTCGTTATAATTCCGGTTTTTTAAAAAATTTTTAAAAAACAATTAAATTTAATGTACTTCCGCATAAATTAATTGCTTTGACATTTCGATGACAATCAAAAACAGCTTAAGAGACGAGGTAATTAAAATTGTAGTCGTAAGAGACTTTTTTTACATTAAAATGCTCTTAAAGCTACACTATATGGGTATATATATATATATATATATATATATATATATATATATATATATATATATATATATATATATATATATATATATATATATATATATACAATAAATAATAATTCAATTTAAAACAAAGTGTTACTGCACCATTAAACAATTTTTTTAATCAGT